ATCCAGCCTGTCCAGGTCCCTCTGCAGATCCTTCCTACCCTCAAGCAGATCAACACTCCTGCCGAACTTGGTGTCATCTGCAAACTTGCTGAGGGTGCACTGGATCCACTCATCCAGATCATTGATAAAGATATTAAACAGAACTGGCCCCAATACTGAGCCCTGGGGAACACCACTTGTGACCGGCCGCCAACTGGATTGAACTCCATTCACCACAACTCTTTGGGCCCAGGCATCCATTTTTTACCCAATGAAGACTATGCCCGTCCAAGCCATGAGCAGCCAGTTTCTCCAGGAGAATGCTGTGGGAAATGGTGTCAAAGGCTTTACTGAAGTCCAGGTAGAGCACATCCACAGCCTTTCCCTCATCCACTAGGCGGGTCACCTGGTCATAGAAGGAGATCAGGTTGGTCAAGCAGGACCTGCCTTCATGAACCCATGCTGACTGGGCCTCATCACCTGGTTGTCCTGTGTGTGCCATGTGATGGCACTCAAGATGAATTGCTCCATAACCTTCCCCAGCACCGAAGTCAGACTGACAGGCCTGTAGTTCCCCGGATCCTCCTTCTGGCCCTTCTTGTAGGTGGCCGTCTACCCAGGCAAGAACTTTAGTATAGAGTGAACAGAGGTCAGGAAAAAGAGGGCAGTTGCACCAAGATGGAAAGTTAGAATGAATGAACATCACACTGATGGGGCAAGCTAAGAGACTTCTGAACTCCCACAGTAAGATTTACTGCAGAGTTTAATGGGCTGTACCTGTTCCACGAACATCACCTACTTCATGGGTGCTACTTCAGGTCATGCAGGCTGTGCACTGATATGGCATGCAGGTGCAGAAAGTCAAGCAGGCACTCACTTGGTATTAGTTACTGATTGCCAGGACTGAAAAGGGGCTGGAAGAAATGGGAAAATGAAGCCCTCCCAAACTGTGAGTACAATCAAGATCTGAATGATGGAAGTGCAGGCATGAGTGTACTTCATCTAGCACTTCTTTCAGTTTCTCTTGTCTCTAATGATCATTCCTTGAGGGTGACAGAATGGACTGTCCTCACCCAGGTGCCAGTAATGGAGCAGTTTCTTCCTCCCTTAGGCAGGTGCCAGCTACCACTGGAGTCTTTCCATTGCCCACAGTGCAAAGGCAGGAGTTTCACACCCACCACAGCTGACTAATTCTGCAACCTTAATATCAAGACACAAACATGTAAGACTTCATTGCAAGAGCCAGCATAGTTTCATGGTCTCTGTGCCAATATCGCAGCCCTATACCCAGCGTGGAGGCTAAGTGACCAGGAAGCACAATGAGCAGTATGGATCAACAGAAGCTACATTGTGCTGATGGAAGGGAGGGACCAAATCTTGCCAGTTTTACACCTGGATATTTTGCAGATTACTCTCAAACTGTCATTAGGACTCTGGAGCTGCATGGGAAAGCAACCTGCTTCCAAATGTTTTCTTTCCTTCAGTATTTACTACAGGCCAAAAGACTGCTTGTAGATACAGTTGTAAGGATGACAGTGAGGATGAATTACACAGAGGTGAAAAGCAACATGAATACTACACAGCACAGTACCAGAGCCTCATTACTGCCATGCAGCACAGAACATGCAACGCATAGGCCTATTCCAACATGAGCAGCACAAATAGACAAAAAGAGATGCAGGAGGAGTACGTGTCTGTGTGGGGGAAGAAAGGCAGCTTTTGCTGCAATACTTCCATAACTGGGCTGTAATTGGTATGTATTTAAGTATGTTGAAGCAGAAAACACACAAGAACACAAGCAGGCAGCATCAAAAGGGATGGGTCTGGTGTAAAGCAATCACACCTCTCCTAGGTCCAACCTCTTCTTCTCTTTCCTTTGGAACCCATTTGTCCCGCGAGAACTGTCCTGGTAATACTGTCCTTGCAGTAACACTGTGAGACAATTTTTGGTTCTATGTACCCCCAGGTTGTATTAAAAAGGATGTGGTGATATTAAGATTTAAATTAACTCTTCAGCCTTGCATGGTCTGCTGCTGCTTGATTTGCAGCAGGATTTACCAGCTAAAGGATATTACTGCATTCAAAGACAGAGGTGCAAG